TCCTCAAACTTGGGCAACTATAAGATGGGTGCCAACATTAATGTACTTTCAAGATGATTAAAGGCCGTTTGAGCTGGTTCAGACCATAAGAAGGCATCCTTCTTAGTTAACTCAATAAGAGGACGTGCAATAATCCTAAAATTCTTCACAAAATGTTAGTAATATCTTGCAAGGCCTAGAAACCCACGTAACTCCTTTACATTTTTAAGAGTAGGCTAGTCACGTACTGCTTTCACCTTTTCATCATCAACTTCAAGTGTGGCCTCCCAAACAAGCATTTTTTTAAATTGACGCAAAACACATTTTCCTATAGGGTCTGTAAGACAATACGCAAGTGGTCTTAGTGCTATTGAATAGAGAAATTGTATATCAAAATATCGTTAAAGAAGATCAATACAAATTTTCACAAATAGGGGCAAAACAAATCATTCATAGCTGCTTGAAAAGTGGTGGGTGCATTAGTCAAGCCGAAAGGCATGACTGTGAACTCATAGTGCCCAAAATGAGTTCGAAATGTTGTTTTGTAAATATCCTCAAGTTGCATCCTGATATGGTGGTATCCTAATCTTAGATCCAATTTGAAAAAATAAACCACCCCATATAATTCATATAATAACTCATTAATGTTAGGAATTGGATACTTATCAAGGATTGTAATACTATTCAATTTGTAGTAATCTATGCAAAAACACCATGAACTATCTTTCTTTGCGACCAATAGTACTAGGCTGGCAAATGGATTGGAACTAGATTGAATAAAGCCCTTTTTTAATAATTCTTCAACTTACTTCTCAAGCTCAGCCTTTTGATAATGTGGATACCTGTCAAATGTTGGGCAGGTTAGCCCCAGGTCGTAAGGGGATAGTATGTGAGTGAGTTCTAAATGGTGGCAAGTTTGTAGGTTCTTCAAAAACAAATGCAAATTCTGAAAAGAAAGGTTTTGGGTTGAAATGTTGGAAAGATGTAGAGTCAGCGAAAGCTTCTACCTATTGTATTGAATTAAATTGAGCACCTCTAGTAGTGTTAGGGACTCCCTGTAGCTTATACCTCTTGCTATTCAACCACAAAATCATAAAAAGTTCATTCCAATTGGCTTGCACCATATTAAGAGATGCCAGCCACTTAATGCCCAGTACCAGATCAGCCCCTCCTAATGAAAATGGAAAAAGAATCTTCTTTAATAATCAGCTCGGTGAGCTTAACTTCTATATCTTTACATACCAGATTACATCATACAATACTGCTATCCCTAATTTAGACTCTAAAAACAAAAATATAACAGGTCGAAAGACATAATTCTTGAGCTAGTGAGTCTGAAATAAAATTATGAGTGGACCCACTATCCACTAGTAACGAAACATTTTGTGTAAGTAATGTTCCTTTAAGTCTCATGGCTACCCCTGTGTTGCTACCTAATATAGCATTTAAAGAAGTTTTTGCCCCTTGTGTAGTATCATTCTTGGTTTCATAGCCTTCAAGGGGAGGGGCAACTTTATCGCCTTCCTCTATGATCTCCAGGAAGGAGAAGGACCCACAACAGCAGTGCCCAGGGCAGAACAAATCTCCATAGTGAAAACACAACCCCTTATCTCTTCATCATTGCTGTTCAATATCTAGAGAAGAGTTTCTGGTTGACACTACAGTCGTTGGTCGAGATCCCCGTGTGTGTTGACACGAGTGATCTCTGCGAAGAAGATGAGGATGAGAGATCAGAGGTTCTGGGTTAGGTGGGTTTCTGGTTGACACTACAGTCGTTGGTCGAGATCCCTATGTGTGTTGACACGAGTGATCTCTGCGAAGAAGATGAGGATGAGAGATCAGAGGTTCTGGGTTAGGTGGGTTGCATTTTATTTTCAATTTCTAAAGATACTCACTGCCCTGTATACCTATTGAGGCTTGTAGATGCGCACGTCTGATCGAAGCTCCTCCTTCAAACCATTCAGAAAGACACAAACCAAGCAGTGTCCCAGCCAGTTCTTCACTCTGGTTGATTGTTTGGCAAATTCTATGCAATAGTCTTGTACTGATCCCTCTTGCCTAATGCTATCAAGAAATTCATTTGGATTTTGGTATTTCAGTTATTTAAAATTCTCTTAGAATACTGTTACGAGATCATCCCAATAGTAAAGAGTTCTTTCAGAGTTGATCCAGGCAAATAATTCCAATACGTCACCCTCCAGCAATAGAGATGCTATATCCACCTTCTCTTCTTCAGGTGTGTTATAATATTTAAAGTATTTTTCTGCCTTTGAAATCCATCCTCGTGGAACACCTCCATTGATCTTTGGAAATTCAATTTTTGTCTGATGAAATCTGGTGCGTTTGCAGTTTTCTCATTCATCTTCATAATAGTATATACGATGTGTATCTCTAGGCTTCTTGATTGCAGAGGTTTCAAGTGCCTCTACCTTTTCTTTTAATAAATTTAGAGTTTCGAGTTTTCGGGTGATTGCGGCTAAATGGTCAGACATGAGTGAGTTTGGATTTTCCGGGTTATTGTTGGATGAGTCGTCAGAAGGATTGGTTTCTTGGCCAGAATGTGTAGTAACCATGACTTTGATGCCAAATGCTAGGTGCTCACGATGATTAAATAAAATAAAAGAAATAAATCTATTAATGGTATAGAATAAAAATCTCGTTCTATATTTCTTTTAATAGTCAGGCTTAGAAGGATCTCCAAAGGATTCAAGAATAGTTTTATTGATGATGATATGCTAGCTTCTAAGTTGTTAGTCATATTTATAATGCTAAATACAATATAAAATACTAAATAAGATCTAGATAACTAGATAACTAATTAGAATCTCCTAAAATCTAAATTACTAGATAAAATCTAAATATCTAAAATAATGAATAATAAAATAAAATCTAAACAACTAAATAGATAAATAAAATCTAGGGAAATATCTACATAGAAAGCTAAATAAAATGCTAAATCAAATAATAATGAAATCTATCCTAATTTATCTTTTGACGCTTCCTTCTTGAATAAGTATTTATGGGTATATTATCTTCAATCTTATCACACACACAGATTGAGACTGTTTAGCAATTTCTACCGCATATTTCACAAGTGACAATAAATCAAGATGTTCCATTCATCTTTACTAAGAATAATAATTAATGATTAGCTAGGAAGCACTGCACATGTTGCATCCGGCAACATCAATTGTAGGAATCAATCAACATAGAGAGTTCAGCTAGTCAAAAGCAAGATCCTTTGAATCTAAGAAACAGTGTTGGATTTTCAGTTCATTTCCTTTAGGATAGATTTTATCCAAGTGATTCTGTTGAATCTAAGAACAGCTAGTTCAGCTATCCAAGTGATTCTCTGGTCATGTTTAGCAGAAATATTATGAACAGAACATAGGTTACTCCGCCCATTAAACGTATCCCTGCTAGTCAAAAGCAAGATCCTTTGAATCTAAGAAACAGTGTTGGATTTTCAGTTCATTTCCTTTAGGATAGATTTTATCCAAGTGATTCTGTTGAATCTAAGAACAGCTAGTTCAGCTATCCAAGTGATTCTCTGGTCATGTTTAGCAGAAATATTATGAACAGAACATAGGTTACTCCGCCCATTAAACGTATCCCTGCTTGCTGAAGATTAAATAGCAAATATTTGTTTCCATGTTTGCCATAAAGTCATAGGATCTGCCATCTAGCCCTTTTTGCCCATCATCCAGTTTTAGTTTAATGAAACACATATAAAGCCAGGTCTCAAAAGTTCTGATATATATATACACACACACACACACACACACAATGGAACAAATAAAAGATAAAGAGCGACCAAACCATGCACATTTTGTCCAATCACAAAGAAGGAACACAGAGAAGGAATATGTGTTCGTTCTAGTGCTTCTAGCTAGCCAAGTTTCACACACTTTTTACAATAGACATCACTACAATAACATACGCTCTCACCTTGTATAGCACTTTTCTTCCTTCAATAATGCTAGACTAAACCCAAGACCGCCTATTCCTTTTTTATCCTCGTAAAAGCCAGTCTTCGGAAAATATAACCCCCTTTAAGATTTTAGCCCACAGTTGATATGGTTCCTGTTAAATTTCCCAACCCATCTTAGCTAATAAAGCAAGATTATAAGCCTAAAAAAAAACATGAAAAAAATTATATAAAAAATTCAGTCATAAATTAATAATTTCAGACCCAAAAAAAAAATCATATCAATCAAATGTTTAACAAAATTCATAGTCCAAGTTTCTATTTTTTTAATTTAATAAATATCCTTCACTATTCTAAATATATTTTTCCTAAGAAATGCTAAAGTCTCTGTTTTCTCAATTCAATAAAGAATTAAACTCTTCTAGGCCAAGACGGCAGCCAAACATATATTTTTTATGATAAAAAAAAAATCTTATCACAGTATAATATCAAAAAGAAAGCATTAGCATACCAAATTCAGTAGAAGCATGGTACCATCTGATCTAAAGATCAAACACTCCCATAAAAATCATCCTTGATTCTAACCATCATGTCTTCTCAACGGATCAGCCAAATCAGGACAGACCAAAATATACTAATCTTCTTTCACATCAATATCAAAATTTTTAACAGCATCCAACTTGGAATTACAAAATATCTTATAATCACCCAACACAGAATTTCATGAATCTACAATCTAAAATAAATCAAAGATAAACACCGGTGGTGAAGTCAAGATCCAAAGTCAGGGGTACAAAATAATTTAACAAAAATTAATATTTTTTAAATAATAATTTTACTAGGACTAAAATTGTAATAACAAAAATTGATTGATCATCATTTTTTATTTTAAAAAATATCATATTAAATATGTTGATACAGTCTTTTATTATAAATATACTTTTCATATATAATCTAGATTATTAAAATATTATATATTCAAAAATTCTTTGAATTTAAATATTTTTAGTTTAATTCAGAAGGTGCAAAATATAAAGAATAGGAGTGCAAAATTACAAAATTTACATACTCTATTTGTAATTTTCCCCAAAGACTCTATTTGTAATTTACATGCCTTCAAGATAATGGGGCTCCGCCACTGATAGACACATATCTAAGGTATTTCCATGTGGCAGAGTTTGAAATAGCTTACCTCAGTTGCAGTATTTGCAGGCAGATCCTGTCCTCCCATAGCCTCCAGATTGTAAATTATTTCCTCATGATCCAATTATCTAGAGATATTCTTCAGAAGCTGTCGATTGTAGCATGGTTGGTCACTTATGGCCTCTAACAAGATGATCCAATTATGTTGGTGAAAGAAGACAAAGATCTTCTGTATTCCCCTACGAATCAAGAAGGAATTCTGAACACTACGTACTCACCACAAATTCCTACCACGATTCGATCCAGTTCTCTGATTCCCAAACTTTCTGCAGTAAAACCAGTTTTCGCCGATGACACTTCAACCAACTCCGGTGATCACGGTCGGAGAGATTTACGCTCACACATGGGGGAACCCTAACAGAGAAAGATTCAGGAGATACCCTGACTTTCAGTCGCTCTTCTAACATTTAATCCGAAACAGAAGGAAGAAACACGTAAACCTCCAAACTTTAATTTCCAGCTACATAAATTGATTCAAACATAAGAATATTTTACCTTGCAAGCTTGTGGGCTTGACGGAGGTCGGATTGTCCTCATGAGAGGAATCACCATTTTTTTGTTGATAAACGCAGAAGATTGGAGCCACTCTGGGGATTGAGAGAATGTAATACCACTGAGACTGTGAGGACATTGTGGCTATTTGTCTGTGGAGACCAGGAGCGTCATGTTTTACAGTTTTAAAAAAACTCAACGGCTAGTGGTTTTGTGATCGTTGGGATGGTTATTTTCAAATGTATTAATATATCCCGAAATTAAAAGCGTATGATGAATCTAATTTAGGAAGCTAATTATGGGCCCCATATCCAAAACCCAAATTAAATATGGTTGGGTGGTTCATTTTAAAAAGGATTAAATAAATCCGGAAATGAAAAGCTTATAATTAATTAATCTAATTTAGGTGAGGTAAAATATCCAATTTAAAAAGCTAATTATGGACACCATATCCAAAAACCCAATCAAAATACCATCGGATAGTTCATTTTCAAACGGATTCAATAATTCGGAAGACAAAAGCTTTAAAAAAATAAAAATTAAAGTGGGCAAGCATAGCTTGAGGATAAAATAAAATTACAGGACAGACAATTATATCTTTTTGTCATTAATTTTTTTTGCTGAAGTAAAATTATACTTCAACAGATTACAAACTAAAACCTGAAACAGAATTAGGCGGATAACACTGTTAATCTATTGAATTATAATTCCAACCAGCACATATTAAAAATGTCAATTACGAGTCAATCTATTTAATACTGGAAGTGTCATCTCATCATTCTTTTGGGTATAATAAAAAATAGGGGGACTAATGTCGCATACAAATAAACTAAATGGACTTGAAGCAATCAAAATAATTATAATTAGAAACCTATATCAAAACATATTAAAATTATAAGGCAAGAGTTTATGTTTTACCTAATTTTAATTTTCATGGGCCGGAAGTGGCACCCCAAGTCACATTGTGTTTGGGGCCCAGCAACTCCTAAATAAATACACTTGATTTTTTATTTTGGTAGAATTGAGGAGAGTGATATTGTTGATATGCAATTATATGATTGGCAAATGTTGAATGCTCCCTTCGGCCTCTGTTATTAATTAATGGAAGAAAACGGTTAAAATTCTATTTGATCTTATCTTATCTTAATCTTAATATAAAGAACACTCGTAATTTTTTATTATTATCTCTCACTATTTGTTTTTTGACGAAATCTCTCATTAATTTTAACAAGTTGGCATGCTTGTTAAAAATCTAGTGGACAGCATCCACTTTATTGTGATCAATAATTTCAGTAAAAAGTAAAATAAAATTAGAAAGTAAAACATTTTCTACAAGTTTAATTTAAGCATATCAGTTACTCGGAGTCATATTTGTGCGTACGCGTGCGCGTATACATAGTCGCACGGTAGTTCTAGCAAAAAGTTGTGGTTATTAAAAAAGTTTGTGTATCAAAACTGCTTATTTTTAAAATTTAGTATATTTATTAGGAGCAAAAATGCATATCAAAGCAATCTTTGAACAATTTCAATTATATAACATTTTTTAATTCTTGTGAGTTAATTATAATTATCAATGATTTATAATGAGGACAGGACGTAGTATGCATTGTTTAAAGATCAATAAGTTAATTTAACTTCTTCCTATAATTGGGACAACGAGATCCTGCATTGTTTAAATATGCATTAGTTAATTAGTCAAATTATTCAAGATAAAAATTACTAATCAATATACTCTATTCAGATCCCAATATAAGATATCTTCTAGAAACCTTACCTAGTCTGAAATATAAGGTATTATATAATTTTTATATTTGTTTTTCTAACTATATTCCTACTTCATTTATTACTCTTATATAAGTTATTTAATAAAGCTATAAATAAAAAGATGTGGACATTTTTAAAATTTAAAGTTTTAACTAATATTATTCATAAACCGTGAATTAGTTAATTATGATTTATATTGTCGTTTGGAAGGAGCATATGATATTAATCAAATTTAAAAGACCATCCTTTGGCTTTTATAACTTGACTTTATTATCATTTTTGTTTTTTGTTTTTACGTTTGGGAAACTGTTTTCATTCTATTCAAAAAAGAAAAAAAAAGAAAAAAAAAAGAAACCATATAATCTAGATTTAAATAGTTCAGTCCAACAATCCAAAAGTTTTCCCTTAATCCCACCATATATCAATCAAGTAGCATATATCATCCTCGTACCACGCAAGAGCCTATCCTTAAAGCTTGCTCGCATCTATTCAACTTATGGAAAATTGGAATATTATTATCCACAAATAACTTAGAAAATTAATTAATTTAAAATTAGGAGAATTAAATTGAAGTCTCATTAGTTTAATTGTCAATGAATCTTGAAATAATTAATTTCTTTTGTGTAGGACCTGGTTAAGTTATTGCACACCTCTATACATCATCATTTCACTATATATGTGCGACCCTCTTGAAGTAGAAGAATGTGGATAAGTCGAAGAGCGGTGAAGAGAAAGAGGAGGTTAAGGTTACTGACATTGTTGCTGTAGGTATCGCTGTTCTTGTTGTTGGTATCATTGGAAGTGTGTTTGGTATCTGTGGTTCTGGTTCGAAGAGTGGAAAAACGATGAAAGTTCCAGGAAGAGACTATAGTATATTTAGAAATAACTTTGAAGGTGATCCTTCAAGTTACTTTCGTGGCTTACACGAGTAGAGATTTAAGGAAGATATGAAGGATGGCTTTTATTATTGTTGGAAGCTCTGATTATTGTTTTTAGGGTTTAATTTCTTTAAATTTTGATCAGTCATTGTCATCTTGCTTGTTCTATTTTGTTGTTATCTTGTTTAAATATTTGTTGCTTGAGGAATGAATTTGATTTATCTATTTCGTAAGATCGTTATTTATAATTAAAAGGATATATCTCCTTAATTTTTATTTCAGAGAAACAAAACAAATTTTTACAAATAACTTACCTAATTTCCTTAATTTATTTGATGAATTTTAGTTAACTCACTCCTATATTTAGCGTGCGTGTGAAGAAAGTAAACGTCTTTCATTCTCTTGGTTCAATTCTCTAAACTATAAAGCCCCCCCTCTCTCTCTCTCTTAGATGCTTCTGAAGTATTGAGTGATGCCCGCAAAAACTAATAGACAATGCAAGTATATGGATCATAACTAAAACTAGTGATAAATTAAGGTTGATTCTCAAAAATTAATTATAATAGAAACTAGGCATTAAATTTTTAAATTCATTCACTTTAAACTAATAAAACTTGAGATTGATTTTCAAAAAATAAAAATAAAAATATTAGAAGTGATCAATTAAAATAACTTTCAATCTACAAACAAGCTAAAGTCAACTAATTAAGAGAAGAGAGTTCTTGAGTCCTAATCCCCTATTTGCTTTCAATCCACATTATTAATTGTCTTGAAATCCAAATTTGATAATTTGAAAATCTAAATTAATCTAAAGTATCTTCCGAATACTAAGGACCCTAATTAATTAACTTAAAGCAAAATATTACCTTAATTAATTAATTGCATTAGAGACCTTAATCTAAGAGGATTACCTTGGTCCATTAGATACATTCTTGTTCTAATAGCTAAACTAATCCTAAACTACTAATTCAAGGTTTAATTTGAGTTTCCTCTTTCAAGGTAACTAAACTAACTCAAATGCCCAAATCTCAGCTAGTGGTGGCCAAACACTAAATAAGAATAGGAAAGCTTAAGAATAAATAATCAAAACTTTATTTTTCAATAATTAAATGTAAATCAAAGGTTATCTACACAAATATGTTCTAGAACAAAAATATTTAGCTACACATGATTGATATAAACACCATAACAGCCATGATAAAGATCGAATCCATCAACATAGAAAAAAAGGAAGATAAAACATCGATAAAATGAGGTAGACTGAAGATGTGCTACATTTCTTAATCCCAAGCTTCAAGACTCCCCTTTGTTCCCTTAGGGTTTCATCCAGTTGTAGTAGCTCAAAGCTCGCTCCTGCTAGCTCCTTTGGTTTAGAAAAATGAGTTTTGTAGAATATTTTCGCACAGAAAATGAAACAATGTGTTTTTGGATTTTGGTCTGGTGCCATGGCACTCCTTTTGTGGTGTCATGGCACTATTGAGTAATTTTGATAAAAATTCTAACAATGTTCTAGAACTTTTACTTTGGAATTAGAGACCACTTTTCCTTGATTCCTTTCTCTTTGTTGCTTTAACTTTTCATTCCCCACCTATTAACAATTAATATTTCCAAGTGGAATATTTGCTTACTTTGATTTCCTATTACAATAAATCCATATGAGGTACTTAATTAATTTCTTGAAAATGCTTCTCATTTTCATTGATGATTCTTAAAATATAACCAAAAATATATTAATTATAACACGAAATAGAGAGTCATTACACCTCCACACTTGAATTTGATCTTGTCTCAAGATTTTTGAAAATAATTAAACGCAAAAGAACTAACTAAACACAAATATAGCAAATATCAGTTAGAAGTACTTAAACCTTGAAGCACTCAGTCTACAAGAGATCAGTCTACCTTTTAAAAGAATATGATCAACAAGGTAACTAACTAGACAAAATAAATCACAAAAGGTTGTCACCTATGGCTTGTTTCTCATCTCCATCTCTACCTAATACGAACACAAATCAAAAGGACTTTATTAAAAGTTGTAATATAAGATGATGAATGTGGAAAAAGGAAAATACCATCAACTTTAGTTAATGCTAAGCATTTCAAGGTATGAAGGAATTTCAACAGGAGGAGATTCCATTCACTAAAACCAACATTCTTTTCTAAAACTCAATCTTTTGGTTATGACGATTATCACTTTCTTTCTTGTTCTTTAAAAAAAAAATCTTTTCCTTCTTTCTTTCTCCCTTTGTTTTTTCTTTCTTTTTCTCTTTCTTTTTGAATATTGTGCACCAAAATATAAGCTCTTCAACATGATGGCAATATTATTGTTTCAATTTCTTTTTGAGATTTTGATGCTTAGCATGTCCTAAAGTAATGGTATAAGAAAAATTATGTTGGTTCAAATAAAAAGGCTAAAAATTATTTTTTTAATGATAAAAATTAGGTCAAGGTTTAAATGGGCATAGTAAAGGATAAGTGTGACAAGGATGGTCATTTGGCCAAACCTTTTG